ATTAATTGGAGATCTCGTAGACATCTCGTCGGCCTGTCTGCCGAATGAGAAAAAAAGAGAGGATCTCCGCCGAAGTGGTGCTTGGCTTGTTCTGGATGTTTGCTCTCTGTCCGAAGTGTTCACTTCACTCGTCTCTCACTTTCTTTCCGCGCGCGCGCGCGCTGGACAAAAGGAACCTTGAAGTCCCGCCGCAGGCGTCACCGACATTCCCACAGGGGTCATTCTATTATATTTAAATCGGGCGAGCGTGCCTCGCGCTTGCACACGATCATGCCCGCGGGCCTCATTTTACACTGCCTCACCTATTTCCTCGGAGCTTTCGAAGCTTCGGAGTTTCGCATCGATCTCGAGGAAAAGTGATTCGGTGTATACGACCAGGCGAAACACGCGGGTCGCAGGCGAGCCCACGATGATTCTCTCGTTGTTGTTGTTGTTGCTGCTGTTGCTTCTCTCTTCCTCTTGCTTCGGGGCAAAGTTGCAGGTTCGGCAAAGGACGAGTGCACTTTCGTTTCTCACCGGTCGTTCGCGGGAAGCGATTGGGGACTTTTCGCGATGCTAGATGCAAATTGGAATCGTTCGTAAATCATGCGAATCGAACGGTACGCACAGGCAGAACGTTAAATTATACTTTTATTATATTCATAAAAATTAAAATGTACACACCTTATTTAAGTTTAAGTTCGTACTCGGTATCAGCTTCTATGCGAGTATCGCAGTATGTATAATATTTAACAATAGAGAGGTATAGGTACTTACTCTCGAGACGAGAGACGAGCTTACGAAAAGAATATACCTACGTGAATTTGTTTTTCATATTTCTTCGCGGGAGGGCAGCGCCACGGCGTTTCGTAGCTCACCTCCGATATAATTATTAATATTATTGACTGCTTACAAAATAATACTATTACACGGTTAAGTCATCTCTCGGTTCGCGACACAGTCCCGGTGTACTTCGTCAAATCTTCCTAGCCCCTCGGCGGAATGGCTTTACGAGATAAAGAAAAAAAGACAATTCTCGCTCTCGTTTACTCTCGGGCGATAGACTTGTGGGCGATTTCTCTACTACGGGTTCGCTACGCAGAAGGGTTGAAAATAATATGTGACATCAACTTTTCCTTTTTTTCCTCGAACAAATTACATGGAATATATCTCCTAGCTACGCTTGTTCGTATCGTATATATTTTTTTTTTCTTAAATGCTTTTCTTACTTACTCGCTCTTCACCGCTATGCACGTCGTGCCACCAGTGCGTACACTGCGTACGCCTGCGATCGAATGCGTGTGCGTGTGTATAATTACTTGGTGACTCGGTGATTGAATGTAACGCGAGAAGGCAAAATGGAGAAAAGGATATGCTACTTATGCTGTCTGCTCTGCTGAAGTGCAGGAAAGAGTGCGAGAAAAGAAAACGAATCTATCACCGAACAACTGCTCTACTAGAACACTATGAGAGTCAATGCGATTGCAATGTGATTTTGCCTGTTAATTCAGGTGGCTCGTAACGCTAATTATGCTATTATTAGAAGAAGATTTCGTCAGCAATGGCAAAAGTTCTGTCCTTAAGCACCTGTCCATCGATTCAACGCGTTTCTATTCTTCTTTTTTGGGGGGGCTTTTTCGATTCTATCGTTCCCAATTGATCGTGTATAACACGCACGTGGTGGGTGAATCGTGAGAAAAGCGTTTTCCGTGCAACGTGCACAGGTAGCACCAGCGTGCGCGAGAAAGAGGTACGACGCTAATTCGATCGCTAACTATCGTCTAATCGTTAATGAAATCTGATCTGAATCGACGGCGACGTGTTTTTTTTTTCTTTTTTACTCTATATGCGCAACACGAAATAAAAGTCGCCTATGCGCCTCTGATTTATCTTACTCGTTTCTCTATTGTACACACCGCCCCTCGTCGGGTTCGATCCCGTCGCTTCGATCGCGACCGCGATTCGTTCTTCTTCGAAATTTGTTAATTACAGCATGTTTCACTTGCAAATTCAGCCGATCCTCCGATTCGTTCCGTTTACGCGAAACGCGATCGAAGCAGCGTATTACGTTTGCGCGAGGACGATCCAAGTTCGATCGCTCGAGATGCCCCCGGCCGTATCGCATTATCACTTATAGATTTAATTGCTCGCGTCGCATCGCTGTCACTTTAGTAAAACTAGAGACAATGTCGATCGACGTTAAAAAGATCGGATCGGTTCGACGAGAAACGATTGTTTCGTTTGAAACGTACGCGCCCGAATGTCTTGGAGCGAGATGAATTACGACGATTCGTGAACTCATGACATCGTAATGGGAACAGCAAAGTGGAACATCCCGCGAATCGTCCTTGCGTCGTCCAACAGTCTTCCGTCGTAAGACTCCGCCCGAATAGATATCAGTTGAATGAGTACTGATTCTAAAACACTCTCTCTCACTCTCTGCCTTCAGTCACGCGATGCAAAAATAGGCTTTCCTATTTCCGGTTACCTAGCACCGGAGCGAAGTGACACAGCGATCTACAAATCTACTAGAGAATTTCCAAAAATCCTTATAATCTAGTATCGACTTCTTTTTATTCTCTTACTAATTTTTTTAATTTCGCTCGTCCGACCAAGTTCTTACAGGGCGAATCGATCGATCGATCGATCGATCGATCGATCGATCGATTGGAACGGACGTATTCCCGAGACCGCCAGCGATCTGTTCTAAAAATAATGAATCGGTCTGCACCGCGGAAGTAGCGCGATAATTGATTCGTATTCGAACCGGGACCGAAGGTTCATGTCTATTCCCAGGTTTCGAATCGAATTCGTTTGAGCGTGTGAAATTTTTAACGATACGTTGTGCACAAGAATCTCGATCGAGAGAGTACTTCAATGAACCGCTGAATATGTTACAATAACGATTTTTGTCAAACAAGAAGCGAATCAGAGCGGAATACGTCGTTCCATCGATCAGAGATCCGAAGAGATGCAACAAACGAAACTTGCACGGTCGACAAATTCTATTTGGTCGCGCACCATGCGTTCGACGTACAGATCGCATTGATTACAATATACAGCGCCGGTATCGTTGATAGCCTAACGACGATCGACGTAGGGTGTGACGTTAGCGAGGAGAAATGGATCGAGTCTGTGTGGAGAAGGGTATTCGGTAGTGTCGATGAAGCGCCGCCGGTGCACATCGTTGGCTACGGTTATTTTTTCCCTTACGATACCGTGTCTATACGTCTTACGATAACGTCTAACAATAAATACATGCGTGTTCGATGGCTTTCTCTTTCCTTGCGCATACATCATCTTTGCCTTTTTGTTATTTGCTCTTTTTTCTTTACACATTACATTAAAATATAACACCGATCTCGACTCGCTTACGTTTATTACATACATACATACATACATACATACATACATACATACATACATACGTACATACATACATAAATATATGTGTGTGCGTGTGTGTGTGTCAATTATTCTTATTTTTTTTTTTTTTTTTAGTTTATTCATTTATTTATTTTTTTCGTTTAAATGTATTTAGCGATGATCGTTCGATAAGTGTCTCGCCGTCAAGCGTTTCAGAAGAATTCCGAATTCAATATTATTACTTATTACTGTTAAAAACGTGCTTCTCGCGCTTCGCGTTAATTGACGACATCGGAAAAATGCAGGCTGTCGCGAACAGCGATTCGGATGGCGAAGTTTTTCGGGTCGATCAAGCACGATGGGACGTGTAAAATTAAATGTCGGGCGGTAAAACAGTTCTAGGTAGCAATGCTGCTGGTTGCCCCATTCCCATTTCAAGTGCCAATTTTAAAATTCGTAGTTAACTCCTGTGATGATTTTTTAGAAACGTCAGGAGGTGCGATTGCGCGTAAATGCGTCGGCAGAAAAAGGTAGAAAAACGAGGGGAGCAGCGTAAAACGGCAAAAGATCAAGTCACAGCCTTTTAATAGTTAGGAGAATC